AAATGGACCAATCAAAGGCTCTTTTAATCATCACGCCACTTCCGTATCAGGATACGTGACGCAATTGGGCTCCTATATAATGCACCTGCTCACTAGCCACTGGGAGTCAATCTTAATACAGAGCTAAAGGAGGCACTGACTGTGTTACTGTTAATATAAGTCATGTCCGACTTGACTCCTGTACAGTTTAACTTATTATCTATATACATAATTACTGAGTGTTTGTCTAAATTAATATACCAAGTCATTTAAACTTGTTAACATATTCTTCAAAGTGTTGTTTTCTTTCTTTCTCCATCACTACCCGTTGTAATCCCCTTTGGGTGCACGACAACAGGCAAATTCACAAACGGCTCCCTTTAAAAAAGGGGGCGATGCTCGTATCCACCAAAAGTAGACCTTTTCCTTTTCCACCAATACCCGTTTCCACCAAAAGTGTATCATTCCCTTTTCCACCAATATCCATTTCCGCCAAATGAGATATTGACCACGTTTTTACCAAAACAATTGTATACTACGCTTAAATTAAAAGCTATAGTACAGAAATAACTTTATTTAACATATACTATTGATTCAATAAATGTAAAGGCATTATATAATATATACAATATAGGTTGGAAAATGTTAAATTTTATTTAAAAAAATGGTCAGATATAAAAAGATGAACAAATAATATACTATGATATATGATACCTTAGTTATGTAAATTGTAACTATATATATAATTAGTTAATATTTGTTAACTGATCCAATAAAAAATTTAAAGTTGTTTAGTACTAGTGTTTTATTTCTACGTTTACTTTCGATAACTTTAGCCATCATAGAATTATAAATTTTAAAATGTACATTTTATTTTAACACACACGCAGTTGTAATGCACTATTTAAACTGTGCCATTTTTTCACTTGTTCATAAAATATTTATTTGAATATTTAGATATTATAATGGTTAATGGACATATAAGTACATGCATAAGTACGATAACGGTTTAACATACAATTAAATACAATAAATGTACAATATACATTGATTATATTGTGTGTATATTTATATATATTTTATATCAATCCGAAAAACTCATGAAAAGTATAGGTATTTTATCTTATTTGGTGGAAATGGGAAAGATACACTTTTGGTGGAAACGGGTATTGGTAGAAAAGGGAAACTTTTGGTAGAAACGTGTTACGCCCGAAAAAGGTATTACGAACAGGTAAATTTCCAAAGACTGACGGTTATATTGATATACCGATTTCAGGTTGATATACCGATATACTGAGTACTGGTATACTGTGTACCGATATATATACTTCAAATTAATTTTTACAATAAATTTTTTGAATATTTAATTTACAGAATATAATTTTTATATTTTACTTAGAATATAACCTTAAAAAACAACAATCAATTTTTAACCACACCTTTTTTGAGACAGTCCTAAGGCCTCTGTCACACAGTCCGTTTTTTTAACGACAACGGAAACGGATCGGATAAAATAAGAAAACGGTGAGATAATAAACATAGTTATTTATACTAATTATTCACACTATCCGTTTCAATCAACGGACTAATAACCCACCGGTCCATTAACGGAAAACTCGACGGATTGCCTCGGTAAATTTCCGTTGTCGGAATGTTTTAAAAACAGACCGATTATCAAGACTATATTAATAGATATAACATTTCACACTTTCCGATTTAGTGCCCGATAATTTTTATCCGGTACCCGTTTAAGTTTAGTAAAGTTTAGTTTCTATTTTCATCCAATCCGATTCCGTTGCCGTTAAAAAAACGGACTGTGTGAAAGAGGCCTAAGGCCGTTTTCACACACGCCGATCAAATTGGAACCGGAACCGGCGTCGGTGCCGGTACCGGTTGTTCGCTTTTTTTCACACATACCGGTGCCCGTTTCATTTCACACACAGCGAGAAAACAGTTTTTGTACTCACTTGGGTGCAGTCGTGTTTTAGTTATTTTCTCTGTTATTCTCAACAATGTGTGCTGCTCTTAAGAAACGCCATCTGTTTGGGCTACTGTACCTTCAAACAGTGACGTAGCCAGGATTTTAAATGGGGGGGCTAACCACTTTTTTGTATAAGTAAGGTAAGAGAGGATATCAGAATTCATCCTCAACCTCCCCCTCCAACATCTACCACCAAGTTTCTAAACGTAATTCAAGAATTTTAGTATAGTTTTAAAAATATTTATTAATATATAATTTATAATAATAATAATTTTGGTTTCAGTGTTCAGTTACTTGCTCCACTCTGACAGCTGCATCCTCTTAGGCGAATTTCTGGCAAATTCAGTTATTATTTCACTTTCATCGAATTGCTCTTTTTTATTTATATTAGCCATAGCTAACCCATTCAGTCTGTTTTCCGACATGGTGATTCTTAAAAAAATTTTTAAGCGATTAAGTGCTGAAAACGTTCTTTCCGGAGTGAAAGAGGTAACTGGTAACGTGGCGAATAATTGTAAAAGTATTTTAATGTTAGGTCGAAGATTGGTACGATAAGAGAGTGAATCAAGAGCAGAATTCGGTTTTGGAATAGTATTTTTACTCCATTGTTGCCTCCATATGAACAGTTCAGCTTTGATTGTAGATGAGGTATCATCATGGAGATCTTGGACATATATTTTAGCAGCTTTTATAATATTTTTATCGTCATACATATTTAAATTGGCCGGAATAATTCCTTCGAGTGGCATAACATCAATAAGCCTTTGATTAAAACGAGCATCCATTGATTCTATTAAATAGTCAATATACATTATACATATAAACACGGCCCATGGGGGGGGGGCTATAGCCCCCTTATCCCCCCTTGGCTACGCCACTGCCTTCGAAGGAAGTTCCGAAGATAAAACATTAAAAGATGATATTGGATTCATCCTATATTAAGTGTAAGGTACTTGGAAGGAATCATATAATATCAGTATAACTATTTTTAGGTTTTCCGCCCGGTACCGCAAGACCTGTGCTAACCTGTGTGTACACGTTTGTACAAGAAAACATTGTGATCGATAGTTCGGAGATCAGTCCGGCATTCGAATTATCGAATTTAACGCTGACTGCGAATTCCGGAATCGTCCACCGGACCGACAAATTTACCGGTCCGGTCTATGTGTGAAAGCTCTAACTTAATTGCATTGCATCCGACACCGGCACCGACTCCGGTTCCGATTTTATCGATGTGTGTGAAAACGGCCTTAGTCTGTATGAAGTGGGAAGGAATTTGTGTTGTAAAAACCCGGAGCCGTTTAGAAATTTAACTGATTGTAAAACCTTTTTTAATGAGAGCCGTTTGGGAATTGACCTGCTCGTAAAACACTTTTCGACGGGAGCCGTTTGGGAATTAACCTTTTTGAAAAATGGGAGCCGTTTAGGAAAAACGGGAGCCTAATGGGCTATGCCCGATGCGATTCGTTGAAGAAGTTCATTGTCACAGTTTTACGGATCAGAACGCTTAGATTTGTTTTACGTTAATTATAAAGTTACTCACGAAACAAGCAACACTCAAAATAAATGTGCAATTTTTGACTGTGGAAATTTTGACCGTGAATTGAAATCTGACCATAGTGCCTTCAGTTTTATTTTTGAACCAGTGTAAAATTTAATTTTTTGTTAAAATAATGTTGGAAATATTTTTGAACTAAAATGTTATACTGATTAATCTTACGATTGATCACATGAGTACTTTAAGACCTAACAATAACCTTAGTTACTTATTAGCCAATATTTATGAATTTTTATGAATAAAAATTACGATAATACAATAATTTGTAATCGAATGTTTTTAATTTTTCATTATAATTCCTTCATCATTAAATAAAATTCATGATTGAAAAAAGTGGCATGAAGTTCTCACGATGTTAAATATTCGTGTAGCTTAAATTGGCTGGAACCCGATTGAGCGCGATTGATCTTTTTTGTAACCCGATTGAGCACGGTTGCACTCAAACAATAGGAACCTAAAAAGAACCCAAAAACCACACGATTGAGCACGAAAATGGGTGCGACGTTGCCGCTTTGTACCGTAGAATATTATTTGGTGCACTGTATTACTGTGCATTCAAGATTTCTTTATAATAATTACGTAATTCAATTTTAGATTTGTAACGATTATTTCATAATTTTAAATATTTACGGCTTAGGTTTCCTAAAAGAAATAACACTCCAATAAAAAAACGACAAGACACTTTTTTTTTCGCATTTTTTATGTTGTTGCTGTATAGAGCTCGGTGCATCTATATTATTATTACAAAATAAAATATATTTGTGTATTATTATTTATAATTAAAAATCTTTTATTGGATTTTAATCACAATGTTATAATTACATTTTTTTTTGCTAAAAAAATAGCACTCATAGAATTGTCATGAAAAAAGTAAAAATTTAAATTTTTTTCCCTAAATATTTATTTTCAACTTTCAATAAGTATTTAAGTATGTTTTCAGCATTTTTAAATTCAGAGTACTCACGGTAAGCCTTTATAGCGGTATTTTTAACGCACGGTAAAGTTAAGGTCCACGCGACAGTTTTCGAAATATCGCGCCATAATTTTACTGCGCGACACTCGTGTACTGTGCTCTATTCATTTTAATGTACTTTAACAAAACGCGCAGTAAAATAACGCTAGCGTGTTGCCATTATAAGCCTAATAGTTAATTTTCAATCTGACAACATTGTACACAATATTTTTTTTTTTTTACCGTACTCAATCGGGTCGTCAAAAAGGTCGGCCGATAACGACCGTGCTCAATCGGGTATCACCGCGTAGATTAAACCAGAAGAAAAAGCAAGAAGTAATCTACGAGAAGAATCTGCAGTATATTATAGCATTCATTTTTCAATGAGTCTTATTTTATTTTTTTCCAACTCATTAGTATGATTGATGCTTAAGCTTATTTTACGTATATATTTTAAATTCATATACAAAAAAAAAAAATGTTTTTATTATTTATTTTTATCAAAAATCTAAACAAACGATTGGTTGTAGTTAACGCAAGCTTCTATTTTTATTCATATCAGTTTTCTTTTGAACTGCGGGCCTCAAATCACGAAAGCCTCGGTGCGTCGCACCTACTGCACCACTGCTACGCCGCTGTGTAACACGATTATTGATTAATAATTTAACGATAAAACAATAAGTGTTAGTATATAACTTACCAAGTCAATAATAATATTATCGATTTCATTTTTGACTTTCTCAACATAATCCTTATGGCCTTTAATCAAAACTTTACTAATATTGGAATTAACTTGTGGAAATGTAACAGTAACTCCATTATATTTTCCACATATCTGGTTTATTACTTCAGCATGGTAGGCAACAAAATGATAATGATATTTTGGAGGAACTTTCATAGTGACTTCAATTACGTTTTTCTATAACATTTTAATGCATTAGGAGATTACAATTATTATTATTATTGTATTATGATTCTCTTGTATCTATTATTTAATTAAATTAAAAGGTAATAAATTTTCAGTTATTTTTTATATAATAACTGTTAGTCATACGTTTTTTTTATGACTTTAATAATTCCAATAACTATTAATAAAAATATTTGTATAGTAAATACTAACCAAGTCTTTAACAATTTCTTCAATCTTACGTTTCGCCTCTTCAACATTTATTTTGTCACCTTTTATGATGACAGCACTATTACTAGAAGCTATTTTCGGAAATGTTATAGACACTCCATTGCAATCATTAATAATTCGATTGATAATTTCACCACGTCTTGCAACAAAGTAATTATGATACTTTGGATCAACATTTACTACAGCTCGAATAGTATTTTCCTAAATCAAAATTGTTAATGATTATATGGTTAACTTATTTAGTTGTATTTAGATAAATCAATGATTATTTTAATTGTTTATCTTAAGTTATTTCATTTTATATGACTTATATATCAATAGTTCATTATTGTAAAGAAAACTATGAACAATTATGTAAATATAACCTCAATACAATTTCAATAAAAAATAGACAGGTTAGTTTAATACATATGCATTTGTATTGAATTATACATACCAAAACTTTAGCATGGTCTAAAAGTCTTTGTTTAGAAAAAGCAACATCTGCTTTCCTATCACTGATCACAACTCTATCTCCAGCACCAAGATTAGGAAATTCAATTTTAACATCGCCACATTCTTTTTCCAATTTGTTTAAACATTCTTTTTGATTGACCACTAAAGTGCCATGATTCTTTTCATCGATTTCTACACGTTCTTTGATGACATTACTAATATCGGCTATCATAACTTCAAGTTTTGCTTTTGCTATATTAACATTCTCTTTTTTACCAACAATAGTTATATTTTCATTAGTGGAATCAGTTTCAGGAGGGAAAATTATTCTTGTATTTGTTAAATATCTGATCTGGAATCCAAGTGTAAAATCATAAATTAACACATTGTATCTTTATACTAAATTATTTTAACAACATACCTTTTTAACATTGACTCCATTTGTTCCAATTAAATATTTGTGAAACTTCGGATTTACTTTCAAATCAAACACATATTTATGAACTTCATCAACCATTGTCTGAATTTGTGTAATAACATTTTTAACATCATCTTCAGGTCCTTTGATAACTATAATCTATGAATTAAAGTTTAGCTTTAAAATATCTGTTTACAATTTTTGCAATTGATTTTAGCATTTGGGAAATTTTCTTAAAAAATTACTTATTGTATTAGGGGAAGGGAAGCAGTTTCTTCTCTTGAGATAGTCGTCTCCTGCTCAAAGAGAGAAACTGCCAGAGACCCGGTTCGAATCAATGTCTGAGCGTATGTCACGCATATAATAACTTATACAATTGGTTAAATTGTCATTTTAATTTATAAGTTTAATAAATAAGTATATTCTTACATTATTTCCTTTAACAGTTGGTAAATTCAATGTCACATTACCACCACAATCTTCTTTTATAGATTGAATGAATTTATTCCCAAGATTTACAATGGCATTTCTAACTTTAACATTTCCCAACACCATTTCCTTTGTTATTATGTCTCCCTAAAAATACGTGATTGATAAATTAAAAATAAAATTGAAAAATAAATAATCTTTATAAAAAACCAACAATTTCATTTTGTATTTCTTTAATCATATCATAAGCGATTAAAACTTTTTTTTTATTTCCCATGACTTTAATAACATCCTTATTGTCTCCTTCACGTAGTAAAAAAATTCTCGTATCAGTCTCTTCTCTAATCTAGAATATTAAATTATATAAATACAATATTTCTAAAGGTCAAATCACAAAAGTTAATAAATAATAATTACCTTTTTAATAAATATTGCTTTCTTTCCAGCACCAAGTTTGTGAAATTGTTTAAAAATAGGAATTTCCAACACATAGTTGATTTCATCCAATACCTCGGCCAATTCAGCTAATGATTTAAATGCTTTATTTACATCATCGTTCAACCCTTGTATTTTAACTAAATTATTTCTAGCCTCAACTAAAATATCGAACCAAATATTATTTATAAACTCTCAAAATACAAAAAATACAAACATATTAATACTATTAATACTATTAATTACTTGGACTGGGGAATATAATTTTAACATTAAATATTTTCTGAAGTTCTCGAACTTTTTCACCATTGAATCCAATTATCGCTCCGTGGTGACGTTGATCAATTGTTATTTCTTTTTCAATTTTACTTTTCAACTTAATTATAATTTCCTCCAATTCCTAACAAAAATTTTAATTATTAAAAAATTACGAAAGAAACTATTTGATGGAAATTTATTAAAATACCCCATTTCGTTAATACATAATACTTGTAAATTTTTTTCTAAAAAAAAAACATATCAGAAATCTTTTAAAAACTTTTAAACCTATGATTAATATTAAAATTAAAAGTTCATTGAATTCGTATATTGTTCTATCAAAATTCTATATTAAAATCCTCATTAATTTATTTTTTACTATAAAAGTACAATAAAAATTATCGGCATTTTAATTTAGAAATCGTGAAATTTTCAAATATTTATTAAAAGATTTAATTTTAATTTAATTAATAAAATAAATAAACTAGTACGGTTATAAATAACCACTTTAAAAATAGGCATTATCTATTTTGTAAATTTTTCTCCAACCTATTCATTCTAGCCATTCTTTTCGAAAATTAATTTACTTTAATGTGTTAAACTTAAATTCCAATTCATTAAAACATATTTTTGATACATACTTGAACTACTTTTTTCGTGGAATCCTTTGTTCCAGTTATATAAATTATGTCAGCCGAATTTTTCATACACGGTATTTGAACTCGTGCTCCTGTGCGTTTTTCAATATTCTTAAGATTAAGTCCTTGTTTGCCCAATAACGTACTTCGATGTTCTTTTGGAAACGGTGTAGTAGTAGTTTTAATCTGAAATTTTAATGTTTTAGTTAAAATTGCTAAAAAAAATATTTTTTATTTATTTATCCGTAATAAAACTATAAAATAACAAATGATTCATCAAACATTTTAAATTATTATGCACATTTATATATTCTAATATTAAAAAATATTAATAATAATAAATTATTCATGATTTGTACACAACAATATAATATATATATATATAAAAAATATTATTTTTATCAGTTTATCTTATTAATTCCAACTTAATCAAAACTTATTTACTTGAGTTTGATCGATTATGATAATCTTTTGTTTTGCTCGTTCAACATTAACTCTATTGCCGCTGATTAATAAAGTCAGATCCATGGTTTTTGAAATACAAATCTCTATTCCTACATTATACTCTTTCCCAATTTTTATATATGCTTCCTTACATTTTTCATGCTCTAATTGACTATTCCTGTCCCAATTTCTGTCTTGGGCGGGTATTGTAATTATCTACAAATTTTACAAAATAAAAATCAAGATAATATTTTATTTATATTCTAGATATAAATCAACAAAAATTTAGTAACAAAAACAAGTAACGGATAACATATCAAGTAGTTAAAGACGTGATCATTTAAATGAATAAGATAGAAAAGAATTTGGGTTTAGAAGTAAGTTGATTGCATAGAAGTGCTGTAATAATATAAAAGAAGGGAAAATATTAGATTTATTAATGCCAGAAAACCTGAGATTAATTGGAAAACGGTACATCGTCCATAGGACTATTAGGTAATAGGATATTATTAGAACTAGTGATGGAGGCGCAAGAAGCTTTGGAAAGAGGTTTGATAAGAGGAGACGTGAGTACAATATTTTTATTTTGATGATTACAAGTGGGTTGTTTTGCGACGTTTAAGAAGTAATTTATGTTTAGGACAACCTTTATAGTTGGAAGTATGATCACCCGCGCAAAAGACGCACTTGGTTAAACTGTCTTTCTCTTTGATGCAGTAGCGCAATCAGGAATTTTTCATGGGGGGGGGG